TTGGTGTTATAGAAGTTATGCTCAGCGGTTGAGGTCCTGTCGACAGTGACGAATGCGTGTTAACATTTCCACCGACACTATTAAGACGCTTTAACAACTCTGAGACTAAACCATATTCTGCTAGGGGGGCTGGGTCTATCCATTTTCTTGTAAAACGATCCGCCACAGATGCAAAACATTTCAGCGCCCCATCGGACACCATTGGATCTTCGTGCTGCAGCAAAGTACTTAAGCTCTGTACGCAATTTTGTATGCATGGAGAATTAGGCTCTACTTTAGTGCAGAGTCGTGAAACAACAGACATAGCAGAATGCAAGGTATCCTTATGAACCAGAGAACCGCAGTCTCGGATGAATGACAAAACACAGTTAAGACCACCGCCTTCAAAAACAGCTCCTGCTTCTCTAGTGCATATAAGCTCGAGAACTTTTATGCATTGCTCGGCCAGGTCACGTGATGTCCTCGAAGATATGTCGGCAATCACTAAATGACTGCAAATGGCTTTAATTGCTCCATCAATGGAAACAATTCTTCTGGTGCATTCTGCAGAAACGTCCAAGTAATAAGTAATAGCCCGCGCTGTCACCTCAAGTACATTTTCAGGTGCATGTTCATCAAGAAAAATTTTGCACAACGCCGGCAAAAATGTACGGGGAGGACAACTGAAACATCATGGCATTCAAATTAAAATTGATAATTTAAGTTAAATAAATGTGCTAGGGTACAATACCTTTCGAAGCAACGGTCTACATTGTCAGACATCAACAGAAGCATGCATAATTGCTCCAGTGCAATTAATTGCATATCCCTCTCATCCCCTTGTCCCATGGACAACCATTCTAAAAGTGTTTCGGGATCGACATCGCCCATCTGTAATATCAAAAAGAAAATTTTGATTATTTTTTATTTTATTTTTTGTTATCTGTTATGAGGACGGAAAACTCCAAGCAAATACATACAGCATAAGTACTGTGTGCTACTAGCATAAAATGATAGCCTGCTGTCGATATCAGCATAAACGCAATAACGCAGAATAGGCGTTTAGATTGGAAACTCGGGTATCTGCGTTAATATAAGAGCTGACTTGTGTGTTTGAAGAAAATCACGAAGGTAACCTTAAACTTTGACAATTTATTCTAAACCTTGTATTAAGCTGAAATGGCCGTATTTCCAACAGTGCGCCGGATAGACAAAAGGTGGCTATTTATTTATTTGTTTAGATAGGATACGTTTGACAGCACCGGAAAGACATACTTTTTACAATATTAATACAAAAACACTAAAATCGCAATTTTCCGAGTCGTCTTTGCATTTACAATTTTATGTATAGCCTGCAAACTCTAAAGGCGCGCCGCGTTTTCTATTGGTTTATGAGATATTATCATCGTTTAAATCAAATCTCTTTCCACTTTTTATACTCGATACTCAAAAAGAGTATAGGGGTATATTAGATTAGCGGGGAAAGTGGATTTGTGTAACACCCAGAAGGAAGCGTTTCCGATCCCATAAATTGTATATATTCTCGATCATCATCAATAGACGAGTTAATATAGCCATGCCCGTCCGTCCTTCTATCGGTCCTGATGAGCGCCCAGGTCTCGCAGATTATAAGAGCTAGAGCAACCAAAGTTTGTACCCATATTCCTGTGATATCACACAATTACAAGTGTATTTCAATATTTTGCAACGCCTCTTTCCGCCCCCCCAAAGGAGGAATATCTGTGGCATCCAAAATGTTGAAGAAATGAGATAATTTAAAAACGCTGAATCATAGAGTATGACCATATCTACCAGATTGGCGAATCTGAATCAGATCGAATCATTATTATAGCCCTCTGACGATGGGGGGCATTACTGACTGAGTATCGGGTATAAATGTGGAGTCGCGGCCATAGCTGCGAGTTGATGAGTTTGTGAGATTCTATGCGAAAAATTGTTGCATATAGAGGATAGGGCATTGTGGCTAGAATCTGTCTGACTCTACTGGGCTAGGGATGGCCACTTGGTGTAGAAAATTATTCCATTGGTGGAAGTGAGAAGCAGAAGTTTCAATTCGTTGAATTGCAACAGATTATTGTTCGGGATTTATCGATTCATAAAAGAATTTGGAGCCAAAAAACAATTCCAGAAAGAAATTTATCGTTGAGAGCAGCGAATTGGTTCTGAACCTGTCGGAAACCGTTCCGAGTTTACTTCATACATAGTTTCGCATTTCAGCTTTTATCTCACTACAAGCCGCACATCCCATTAATAAGATCGGTTAGACTATCGGAGGGAAATCTTTTTGTTATATTTTGGGGCATTTTGGAACCGGAGCATAGGGCAGGAATACCTGGTTTTTTTTAGTAATATTTTTGTGTGCCCTCACGCCGATTGCCGAGGAGCAATGCGAGCAGTTGGTCATGCTATTTGTTTAGACGACTGTAATGCCCGTCTTCAGGTACTCTACATTTTAGGTGCGCCAACCAAAAATGAATTGGGTTAAAAGAGTAGGCAGAAGACGGAGCACGGCGATCATAAGCACATAAGGCTTAAGACGATCGGCTCAGCAAAGAGACAAAAACTGAAACAGTGGAAAAATTATAAGCAAAAATTACGGGATCCTTGGCTAACGTGCCCAGAGTTGGCTTTGGAAGGATAAGATGGAGTCCAGTCGCGTATACTGTAGCTACTGAAGGAAATTTGTTCAATTTAACATTATTTACTGATACGGGTTGAGCAGGCACGATAAATACTGCGTGAAATTCAGCCCACAATTTGGCAATCTGACAACGACAACCATTATAAACGAAACTCCAGTCGAGCATCAATGTGCTGAATCATGTTCAAGCAATGTAGTTGTTTTCCAATCTTCTGACCTAGAAGGGTCTCGAGTCTGTGTATTTGTTGCTAGAAAATTACCGGACCGAAAACTACGTCGTTTCTGCGCCTTTGTAGTACACCGACGAGCTGAGCAACCGAACCCGAGTAGGTCGACAACTGGCCACAGTCAGAGTCGAAGGATAGCCTGCCCATAAGAGAATTGGCACTGGCACGCCCTGGTACCCCGCGAGAGCGTACCACGAAGCGAGCGGACGAAAATTGCAATGGAATTTGTTCTTGATGCAATATCTTGGTATTTTATAGTCTTTGGAGTACCCTTTCAACAAATGAACAAATAAAATTGATTTTTAATTATGTTTTTGTTTCGTTAAAATATTTTTTACACACTACACATATTTTGTTTTGGATCAACTGCATCAGTACCTTATTGACAAACAATAGATTACAAACCGAGAAGGGACTTTTCACATAAACAGACAGATTAGTATGTATATAATATATGTGCACAACTATGTTACATACATATATACACATTTGTAAAATAGTTTCGTACACTTTAAATGGCACGCATGTGGGCCAGAATGATTATTTATTACATAAAAAGCACCGTGATGTCATTTATTTTGTAACTTCAGACCAAAAAATAGATTTAAAGTTTTTTATTAACTAATTTTCAACAGTAAATACGTAAGAATGGTTTTGAAGTCAGTCTCAATACCTTTTTAGCATTATGCAACGAATGTGTTTTATAATTCTGATATCAAGAATCCCTTGACCAGAAGTTTTTAATGAATTTGATTTCACTACACACCGTCAATTAATTTAATTTCAACAACATGCACATTCGCTTGAACAATGTTCTAAAGATGAGCAAAATATCGATTGTTTTCATTCCTTGTTTTTCTTTGTGTGGTAGTGAACTATCGACAAAATATATCCACAATAGTATCACCAACCATACAGTATATAGAATAGACATGCCAGTTCATACACCAAACATGTCGCAAACGAACTGCTATTAATGCAGATCAAGAATATATGTATATACCTTAAAATATAAAGAAACGATACCTTCTGGGTGTTACCACTAACCACACAGCATATAGACGTGCCAGTTCATACACCGAACATATCGCAAACGAACTTTCTGGATTAGATCCCAGGGTCTTCGGCTCTGGCGTGCTCCGCGTCATCACGAGAGAGCCAGGCTAACAACGCTTTGCACGTGTTGCACACACAATATGTTCCCCCAAAAACATGTGATTGTATGTTTTTTCGCTTTTAAAGTTTGGTTTCTGTTTTCTGTTGTGGCTCCATCGTATTTTTATTTATTATTATATGTGTAATACTTTTTCATGATATTCATAACTTATAATTATTTCCATATTTCATTGAGTGTCGAGTGAAAGTGAAAATGAAATGATAAGCGTGTATATATACTCGATTGTAGGTTCCATTCCCATGTATTCCCCATCAATAAAGACTCTGGCGGCGTGCTGGGGGCGGCAGGCGATTAGGCGATGTGATGGAAATATTCAGGAGGTCGCCAGTGCTGAACTTTGCCTGTGCGAGCTTGTCTTGTTGTCTTCGATGCCTTTTTCCCCTGTTCATGTCACTCCAATCTTGCGCCGCAGAACACACGCAGCAACACCGGAGAGGTCTTCTCGCGATCGATTTGCTTGACCTGCGTCTTTTTCTCCGCAATCATTGACTCTACATTTGCTATATATGTATTTTACTTTTTCCTTAAAAGGAATGATTTTCCCGTTAAACTCATTGCTTATAAAATGCAGGATATTTCACTCCTCTATGTATGAACTGACACATCAATATACCGTATGGTTAGTGCCTCGTCCGACTTAATCTGCCAATTAGTTAAAATATACTCTATGCAGTCGAAAATGTTTCGTCAACTTCCAACAAAAATGATAATGAAAAAACAAGCCAACATGATGTACAACCCAATTTTATTTCCGATCGGTTCTGTACCCACGGTTACTTTAACTTACAAACTTCGTTGTTTTACTAAATTACTATTTTTTCTTTATCGATTAACGGTGTCTCTATTACTAGTCATTAAACAGTTACGAATTGTGTTAGGTAGAATAGAATTGCGGAGCAAAAATCTTAAGTCCTTGATGACTCTGCGCTTGTTTCTGGTATTGTTGAGTCCAAGCCTAGCTGATTTTGCTGCGTCGTTGGTTGCAGGTGAACAAAATTAACTGGTAGTGAAAAAGGGATGCCATGAAGGGGATAGGTAGATTCTTGTGGATTGAAAAAAAGAAGGGTGCTATTAATAAATGGTAAACCTATGCCATTAGGGTTTAATTCAGATTTTGTTGTATCTGGCTGAAAATTGTCACTTAAGAATTTTATGGGAATATTATCGCTTGCAGATGTATATTGTTGATTCGCGCTCTTTGTTAAATCGAAATTTGTATACTCCGGCTGAAAAGTATTTTGAAAGTCTATTTTATTGGGAAAGTTGAATTCTTTCAATTTAAATATCTTATTGTCAGGGTGATTTGCATGTAAGGCAGATCGATCGTGCTCTTTAGTCCTCAGATTATCACTTTCTAAATTGAATTTCGACTGGTCGTCTTGGCCGTCAATGTTCTTATCCATTAAATTGCTTCTTAAGAATTTTCGCGGAATATTAACGCTTGCAGATGTATATTGTTGACTAGGGCTCTCCTTCAAATGTTTATTATGCTCCGGTTGAAAAGTATATGGAGGGTCGTCTACTTTATTAGGGAGGTTTATATCTTTTAATTTATATATCCTATGCTGGTGTATGTTTGTCGGTAGCGTAGATTGTTCATGTTCTTTAATCCCCAGATGATCCCCTTCGAAAGTGAATTTCGACTGGTCGTCTTGATTATAGTGTTCAATATTTGATTTCTCAAATTTATATGGCTCTTTTGTATGAATATAAATGGGAATTTTTCGTTCAACCTCAACCTTGATTGGAAACGGTACTTTTTTTTCAACTGTCATTGGAACTTTAATTTCAATTGGATATGGAACAGTTCTAAGAACAGGATATGGTTTGGGAACATGAACTATTTTTTCAACTATTTTTTCAACAACATATGGTTTTGGGATATGAATCACCTTTTCAACTATTTTTTCTATTGGAACGTGTACAATTTTCTCTATAGTAACATTTATAATTTTAGGAACATGCACAACTTTTTCTACCACTTTTTCAATTGGTACATGCACAACTTTTTCAACCGAATATGGTTGTGGTACTGTTTTTATAAGCTCTTTAATATGGTTATGATGATGATGATGATGGTGATGTTTTATTTTAGTTTTTATACGGTTTCGATTTTTTTTGTTTTTTATATTTTCCAGATTTTTGTTTGGTAAAGTTTCAGATCCTAATGGTTCAGATGCTTGGTACTGGGAACCGCTGTCGTATGTTTCATCGATATGTTCATGTATTTCCTCAAAAGTATGAAAATTGTTACTATTTGAATTATCAAATGCAGGGGATTTTTTTTTTTTTCGCGCGTTAATTGATCTGTAATGATGATCTGTCGTTCTATTATCGAAGGGCTTATCATATTTTTGAATAACGCGCTTAAGTGCCATGGTCGGATCAGCAGCTACATTATGATGAGTTAGTTCAAATTGTTCTGTCTTCTTTACTGCAGGCCGAATGATAGTTTCCTTAAATTCAGAATAGCCCAAAGTTTTTATATTGGGATGTTTGGACTTATTCATTGTATTCGAACTAGAACAGACGGCCTTTCCAATCACGAATATCGTTACGAGAAAAAATCCAGCAAATAAACGAATCTAAAATATATGTATTTTGTTCAGAGCGTACTTAAACTTTTTTCGAATATGCACATTTTATAAAAGTGGTTACACTTCTTAATGAAATTCACCATTCGAGAGTTCTTCATTAATACTCACCAGGTTCATTGTTTAAATTTATTCCCGATTTTATGTTAGATGTAGTTTGTATCTGTTTTTCTTTAATATAAATGATCCATTTCCTTTCCGAGAAAGCATTTATATGCTCGTAACAGCATATATAAAACAGCGCTGAGATTGATTATATAATTAATAGTATCAATTAATTGAATTTTCAAGCGTATCGAGCCTCAAAACCACGCATAGTTTTACGATTCAAAGCCCACGGTTGCGTGACTGCACTTGTGCATCCTCAAGTACAAGTAGGCATTCGTACATCCTACAGATGTAAATAAATATACATATACATTTATGTATATGCCCTTGATCATTATGATTTTTCCAGACGCTTTGAGTACAAACATTTATTTTTATTTATTTTGCTCAAAACAGTGCGTACATATATATTAAAAATATTATTTATAATATAAAATAATATAAATGTTATTTATTATATATTATATACGCTAGGGGACAAGCCCTCTGCACACTCGCTTCACTTTTGCGCAAATACCCTTCTCACAAGCTTAATCAACAAAAAAATGGTATCGAAGGACCGCAATTTATGTGCTGAAACTACACTACTCAACTAGAAATTTCCGCTGTGAATTAAACCGACTTATCTGATATATTTGAAAGCTTTTAAAATATTTATTTTTATGGTTTTATACATTTTAAAATAATATTTTAAATGTAGTATTTTGTATTTTTTATTTTTTTATTTAGTGGATCTATTTTTCACATAACTTAATTGTCGGACATCTGGTTGTATTGAACTTTGCAATTCTGCAAAGCTGAGAAATGCAACGATATATCTCATCCGAACACTTTGTAGCTTAAGCTTATGGTCTAGAAAATATTAAACTTTCAAATTGAAAATTGAAATTTTTTGGTGATATTTTTAAACTAGTTTGAAAGCTTGGGAACTGTGGAAAAAAATTATTCCTTGGAGTTTTGTATTTTTCTGATACAGGTATATTAATTGGGCGTCGTTTAAGGTATCGTTTGTATGGATCTATGGATAAACGGCTAAGGTGCAACCGTTTGACCAAACCTTCAAATGTCACATTTTGCCTTTAGGGGAGTAGCATGGGAGAATGGACATTATCTGGGATTGTCCATGTGGGCCACCCTCCCGTTGATTAGGAAGGTTGACTCCAAGTTCATCCCTAACGTATCCACTACATAAAGAGGGGTCAGCATTTGTTGGTTTTTACTAAAAACTTTTCGCCTGCGACTGGTGTCAGTGCCGGCTCCTGTTTCTTTGCATGCCTATCGTACCTTGCTCTGAAACAAATTTTTCAATTCATGACTACCTCGCCCGCGAATTTAGTAATTTTTTTAATATAGCAATCGGTAATCGGGTCCGACTGATTTTTTTTTTTTCTTTTCTTTCATTATCATCAAAAATATCTGATACAAGATTCTTAAAATGCCAAGACCGACCCGATTATCTTTTCTGATGCTAGAATGTTTCATAGTTTTTGAAAGGCGTGTCCTTGTACTTTGTTAAATATTATGGAGTCTAAAAGCTCATATATACTGATGAAGCAGACGGAAATCAGTCGGAGAATCGGCGCAAAATCGATCACGAAGTACTTTTAATAACTTGCCAGACCCAAGAATGCTTTTTAGTCCGAACTGCGTTGTTGCCTCGACCTAGTCCTGGATGAATTACTCCTAGATAGCATTTATATTTCTAGGGTCAGTCTTCGTGCCTTCTCTAGTCACAATTAAGATAAGGTACTTTACGATTGTCCTAAAAAAATGAGACTTCTCTTGAGCCACTCTCATGTTGGCGTCATTGAGGCTTTTCAACATCCAGTCGACGATTTTACCATGGTCGTCTTGTGATATGAAGAAAAATACGTTGTCAATATAGATGAAGCATGTTTTGCCGATTTGTTCACACAAAAAAGTGTCGATTGCTTTTTGGAAAATACTAGCTGAGTTTGCTAAGTTCATTGATATGCTTGGCATGGCTTGGAATATTATCGGCCACTGTTTTTTGCTTGAGCTTTAGAAAGTCCATTATAAGACGTTTCTTCCTATTGCCGCATCAGTGTCATTTTTATCGCCCACCCTATAGCATTTATATATGGCGATCTTATGTTGTCTCTTAAAAGGCCTTTAACCTCAAAAGCGATAAAATCAGCTACACCCATAGTTTGGAGTAAATTGGTTCGTCGTCCACGGTACTATTGGTGGCCACGGCCGAAATGTTGTACGGTTCAATTAACTGAGTTTTCATTTAATGCCGTAAACTGCTTAAAGCCTAAAACTAAATCCATTGAAAATCGATTGGCTCTGCATAAAAAAGATTGGTAAGGTAAGAGCCTGCATCAAAGGGATTGGCTGGACTTTGGGTGGGCGTGCAGACGGAGTGGAGCATGACACCTCGCGAGCACATAGTAAATTTTGTCGACGGTATGCCCAAACGTATTCAAAGTGTTATCAGGCTAAGGCTTTTTGGACAAAATATTAAAAAACTAATTAATTTCAAAAATTCAAAACGAGCAAAAGTGGATAATTTGACTTTTTTGAAAATACTCAAAACTCTTAAAGAAACCGATCTCTTTTAATTGTAATTATTGTTTTGTTTCATTTCTATAAATTAAAGAATATTTAAAAATACTAATCAAAAGGATTGATTCATTTTTAAAGATTTTTCAGGCGTTTAAATTAAAAAGTGTAGATAGCAAATAAAAAATAAACTAAATTTTCATTTGTATGCATACAGAAATATGTACTAGGAGATATTTAAAGATCGCTGGTTTAAAAAATGCAAAAAATTTAAAGCTAATATTAATGTCACAATTCCGGTGACGGTACAGGGATGTGCTGCACTTATAAACGATCCAGACACCTCATTTTGACGTACTGAAAATACAATTTTAATTTCAAATAAAGTAAAAGTAAAGTAATTAATAACTTTAGAAACCCACACACAACTTTTCTTGAATTCGGTACAAAATGGTGTTTTTTTTTAAATGCTTTTTTTTTTAGAGCATACCTGGCTTTTTATAACATAACTTAAGTATGTTACACATAGTTTTAAATATTTAAATATTTTGACTTTAAAAAGAGTCGAAAGAAAAATGTATCGTTTGTAAAAGCTACGGTTTTATATATCTATCAAATCTATTAATTATAATTTAGTTACGAGTTCATTGTAATCCCAGAGCCCTTGCAAATCTCCGAGCCATAATATACTTCTTTATCTTAAAGTCCGCAGATGAGAATTGGCTTAAAGGTTTTTATCACTAACTTCCACAGCTCGCAAATAACTGTCAACGCTTATTTCCACTTATCACCATACTCGCTCTCTTTTTAAGCAGAACATTACATGTTTCGAGTTTTCGGTTGAGCCGATATCGTGTCTCACAATAAAATCTTGTATGGACAGTTTTGTCGTTCGCATGCGAAAAAGTGCTCAGTAAAAACAGTAATAGAAGAGAAATGTAAAAAATCCGTCGTTGCTTGAGCAAATTGATGAAAAAATTTGATGGGTACTTTTCTGCCCTTTGATTCAAATTATCTTTAAAAAGATAACCGGACAACCCGAAAGTGTCAATAGCTATTTCCTAGTTCTGATAACTTCTCGTTTTGGACAATAATTGTCCGATTTCCCAGAAGCCTTGCCTTGATTCTCTTCAATATTTATTGACTTTATTGACTTTTATTCTTGTAGTGTCTTGCACATTCTAGGATATAGTTTTCCTAACTGTTTCTGAATTACAGCTGATTACATCTTATCTCGAAAGAGTTATCTCTTTACACAATTCATTGAGCGACAGTCCAAGAGTTTTTAAGATTCTTTCATGAAGAGCACAAATCTACACATAAATGTTTAAAATTCTGTTGATTTATGGTAGCGAACTAAAAAGTATTCGTATCTAATCTTTTTATTTGTTCATAACCTTACCCATTTCAGCGTTCTTCCTCTCGGTATATGGTAGTGAGTTCGTAGAAATGCCGGTTTGGATATCTTTGATCTCAGCTTCTTCTAAGATTTCAAATATCCAACTCAAATATGGAAAAAGTAGGGTTATCCGATTTGTATATCCATCGAAAATAATTGTTTCATTTTTATCACGCAGTTTATCTATACGGGGAGCAAGTGTTACTATTGCCACTAAATTATTTCCAGATAGTACACCATATCCTCTTAATTTGTTTTCGGTATAGGAGTTCCTCCATATCTGTAAAAATATGTAATTATTTATTAATAATACGATTTTCATCATTGTTTTAATGCACATATCAGCTTGGACAACTGTTACAACTTGTAACGTTAACTTGAAACCTTTTTTCTGTTTCGTGCAAAGTACAAAAAGACTGTCGCATATCGTAATTTATATTTTTTGAAATATTTACACTCACATTAGTGTCTTCTTCCAAGAAAGACTCCGTATTTATTATTAATTTCGGCAATAAAATCCAGTTGACGTCATCACGCAGTGACAATGGTAGGGGCGAACTGAGATTTACAAGAGCTATGTCATGATCCAAAGTAAAATAGTCAAATTTAGGATAAACATGAATGCTGCTAACTAAAACAATTAAATCATTCATATCTTCACTTTTAAAAGATACAAATATTTTATCAAATTGAATGAGTTTTGTCTTGTATGGGAATTCAGATACAGCTAATAAACACGATGCTGCGGTTAAGACAATATGACTTTGCAGAATATTTCCATAGCATATATTGTCAAGTAAATATCCTGAGTTATTTTTGCTGTGTAAGTGCACTTGATAGGAAGGCCTAGAATATCCATTATGAACGTGTGGTAGAAAACATGTAGAGACAATAAAAACAAACAGTATCATTTCTATTTCGAAATATAGCTTATATTTTCTATGAAGACACAGACTATCTTTCCGGTCCGTTTGCAAGATTATGGCAAGAGAACTAAAAATCTTCGCCAAGATATCTCTTATCTTTTAAGCTTTTATAAACTACAGTAAACCTTCTTAGAACGTCTGATCGTTTCGAGAGTTTTTGGCTTTCTGACATAAATTCTGAAAATATGTATGTATGGTTACTTTTTATATCAGGGTGCTACAGAAATACGTTTTAAAAGAATTCCAACTGACTTAAGTAGAGATACAGAAGGGTCTCTCGGCTGGTTTCTAATTCTCTAGTACCATGGCTAGAGATTTGATTGATCACACATCTAAAAAATATTTCACTCATAGAGTGCCTTACAGTATATGGAAGGTTATTTAATTTCCGATTTATCTGCGTCACCATAATTTATGATTTTATTTGTTTTAATCCCGTCTCAAGTTAAAAACTTGCCGTCTAGTTTTTTTCAGATTCTAAATTATAATGATGGTTTCCTTCTAATGGGGTTAAATTCTTCAGCTGGTTTCATTAAAATTGTAAGCCGTGGCAAATTTTGTGTGAAATTAATGATTATACTGACGCTCCAATTATTCACATTATGTTCCAACGCCCAGTGTGATATCTTTGCTCATATAGTGTGCAATTTGACATAGTGTTACAGGAACAGGTCCGGTGTACAGACCAAATTCGGTTGTAAAACTACGTGTTGTCTCTGAGAACTAGGTGACCAACAACACAGACGGACAGACAGACATAGCTGTATCGACTCGACTATTAATACTGATCAAGCGTCTATGCAGCTTGTGACTTTTTTATCCTTTTTTTCTTTAACCCAATTAAATATTGCTCTGAAAGAATTAATCAGGGCAACAACACTTCGTCTTTTCGTGTAACAGCTGACTCAGCCTGATTTGGTTATCGGAACGTTGGAAAGATATAACAGCTGTTTCCCGCCACATTTATAAATTTAACTTTTATTTTGCATGCGAAAACGAAACGTTTTGGCTGAAAACGAAACACAAAAGTAAATGAAAAACGGAGCCTGCCTGAATTGTTAACATATCGATGGCCACAGTTAGAAAAAAAGTTATAAAATTCTAATGAATGGGTCCAATGAAATACATATATATGTATGTCTGAAAAACCTGCAAGATAGAGTTAGGCATGGATGAGGACATGGGAATGTTTGGCCCGAAGGTCAGCCACTGGTGCTGGAAATTTCGTTTTCTTTGATGAGAACAAATGATAAAAGAAAACTTACAAATTTAGCTTAGAAATTATAACACAAAGTGCTCTGGTTCATATGTACACAAAAAGGGCACACAATAATTCGAGTAATTCGAATTCATTTCGTTTTCCTCTTATCAGAATGCCGAGTGATGTCAAAATCAACACGAAATAATTTTGATATATATTTTATTTATTTGCAGCTCAAAAATAGTTAACTAACTTAAGATAGTACTGTCAACTATGACCTTCGGCTATATTATTTCTTTTTTATATTACTGTATTTACTTAATATGTTTTAGACTAAAATTAATATTTGTTTAAATATTTTTTTATTTTAGGAACTTTATGGAGAGGGGCTGTATGGTAATGAAATATGAATATTGTTAACAAATATTTTTGTTTGAGTTGCTTGGGAGGATAAACCAAATTTTAGCAGATGTTCTATTGTGATTGTTGTACTATTACTTTATAATTTTAAACAGATCTTTGTGGTTTTTATCACTTTGATATCGTCATTTCATTGTATGGCTTGTAATCATTCTATTAAATGCTAATATATTTTTGTTGCCGACCATGCAACCAAAATGTTACAGAAGGGGCTATCATGGTCTTTATTTGTTTGGTCGTTATAATTTGTGATCATTATAACTTAGTCTAAACATACTATAAATGCATAATCTTTATTCATCAAATCCAAAGGCATCTTCGGCGTTTGGAGGTACGAAAGCGCCGTTAAATGTTTCTTCAAGCCGATCTTCAATTCCCATGCTGGATGCAATGCCATATATTAAACGCATCAACACAATTCTGACAAAGCTTGGGGTATTTATGTCATCTCCTGGGCTAAGCGAGAGCTGCTTCGGATTTTCAACAAACTTTCCCCTTACATTCTCACTCAGTACGGGAGTACACAAAAATATAGCAATAGCTGCAGCAGAAAAATAGTATTTGAACACCATGCTTAAATTCAACATTATTAGTACAAATATCAAGAATGTGGCCTAATAAAGAAACCAGTTTACTTCTTCGATGACTCTTTGGTACTAAATATAAACTTATGAAAAAACTTCGCCCGGTTTCAAGTATGCTTAAATGTTAGCTTTCCAATTTACGATATGTATGTCGATTTGATTTCTTCGTTCATCAATACTTATGGCCGTATGACATTAGACATTGGTACAAAGGGTTGGTACCCGCTTTTAGTCACGTCTCCCAGCTATCAGTCGAAGAGCTGCGTAGTATTTGTGACGAAATTATCAAAATTGGATCTAAAAAATGTAACAATCAATAATCTCTAGGGTCGCGCTGCTCCCAGCTCAATTGGCAAGCCTGATGCATAGATTTCTCTCGCTCTAACTGCATTCTTTTCCCATAAAGCTATCTCTGTTTTTGCTGTTAGTCATTTCGAAAGCTCGCAAGATATCGCAAAATGCTCGCTAACGATCCGTTTGCGAGCTATCATAATGATACTTTCACTTCCACTAACTGGAAGACACAAGTATGTCGGGTTAAGTCTCGCATTTGACTGCCATTTGTACGCGTTTTGCATGATGGCTATGTACATTGGCCGTGTAGTACTGACGTTGGCGATTGACGATAGTCCATAGGAATAGCTATGCCAAATCTGCCTACTCCGACATTAATATTGATAATTTAAATGGCATATATAGATATAAATATATATATATATTTAATATCTCAATTTGGTCGTCGCCCTAATTTTTTTTTTACAGATATAAATATATATAGCAGATATAAATGTACTTTCAGATACAAATGTATATTACAGATAGAACTGTATCTCACAGATACAAATGCCCGACATTTTAGTTCTTGATAAATAACATTCCATGGAAGATATTTTTTGTTGCTCAAGCAAGAGAGATTTGGGTTGGCGAGACTGGCAAAGCGAGTGTGCATGGGGCTTTCCCACTAGTAATATATATTTTCATTGATTTAGCTAGGCTAATACTATTAATATTAATATTAATTTTGAAATTTTATTATCATACTTGTTCAAGCGTAAAAGGATTTTCGAATGCCCGACCCAAAATTCAGTAAATAAATTTGTGGCTTTAAAAATTGCCTAGAAATGTTTTTGGCTTGCAAATCAGCTGCTTTGCGCAAGTACAGGCTTGCGTACCGAGTTTATTCAACGTTCAAAACCTTTTTTGAGAGATTAAGTATGAGAAGAGCAATTTACACCCTAAGAATGAAAGTGATCCGAATGAGCTGAATGTATTCAACGCTGACTATTTTTGAGTGACTGCATGTTACTCATCTTACTATTATATTGTTTTTTGGTTTGAAAGTCCAATTACGAAAACTAATAAACTCTTTTATTACTTTGGTGGTAAATATGTGTACATATAACACATAGTATGTACATACATATTTCTATTTACAAGTGTAGTATACATATATAAAATACGGTAAGTGTATTTACGTAAACGCGTGTTTTTATTACATATTTCCCCAAAAAAAAAATGTTAATTTTATATTTCTTCTGAACCAGACACAAGACCAGCAATATTTATAGCAAATGTTTCACTGATCCAAATGAATTCAAGGAGTCTTGCTTCAAGACCTCCAATGATTGCTCCAGCGAAAATGTCCAACATATAATGACGCTGTAAAATCAGTCGTGATAGAGCTACGCTTACAGCCCAAGCCGTAAGAGGCATTAAAAATACAAAATTCAGAGAATATAATTTTGTAAAAAATATAAGTACATAAAATGCTCGAGATGCGTGGCCAGAGGGAAAACTAAATTTATCGGGTCCTATTACCAACGTATCTTTTATTGCTACCGGTCTTCTTCGGCGCACGAATGACTTTAACACGGCTACGACGACAATATCAAGTATAAGTCCTACAAGCATATTTACTTGCATTTGAAGTAATGCTTTTGAATTCATTATCCATATGAAAGCAGTCCAAGTAATCAACCAGGCAATACCATCACAGGATATTTCTAGAAATTTACAGTTTATCTTTAAAGACTTAAAGAATGAATACTTAGATAGAAGTGATACGCAATAATTTGTCCATTGCACATCTTTCTCTAACATGTATTTCAGTATGCGTGATGACTGGAATGTAAAAAAAGTATTGTTAATGCCAGAAATTAGTATGTAACTTTAAATTAAAATGCACACAAACCGTTTTCATTATATAAATTAGACATATGTGTACATATATAAATTGTAGCTCTATGAGGTGACAAATAATCACAATAAGGGGACTCGGCTCACTCTAATATTTTCCACAAAATACAAGAAATGGAAAAAGGATTGGGTATTCCACGAATGGGCTTTAAAGAGCAAAAGTACACAACTTTATGCCACCACTACGCTCCTATGCTTATCGTATTTAAAATAAAGCCGCGTTTTCGCCAAAACGCAATAGCGTAAAACGTGGCCCTGGTATAAACAGTTTTGCGTATATATGAACTAAAGGTTGCGACAATTGGGTTTGAAGTGTATCGAAAACCATTTTCAACGTTCCCACGCAGACGATGTTTTTTTTACTTTTCCATTTGCTTTTTCAGATATATCGTTGCTTCACACATCCCTGTCTTAATTAGTATGACTTTGAATTTTAGCTAGGAGTTTACGATGCCTTCTTTCAAAGGTGCATATTAGATGTTTTCTGACGCAAAAACTAATTCGATTATTTACAGTAAAAGTAAAATGGGGACGAGAACTCTTTACGGATATCGATGTTAACACCGATGAAGATCCTATATTGTTCAAAGCTCAACTGTTCGCTCTGACTGGTGTTGAGCCAGAGCGTCAAAAAGTTATGTGCAAAGGTGGCATACTTAAGAATGAGCAATGGAACTTGCAGTTAAAAGATGTAAGTTGAAATTTGAAGTATGATTCTTACAATTCACAATGTTTATTTTGTAGGGCGCTGTAGTGTTATTACTGGGTAGCAAAGAAGATGTACCAGAAGTACCCACAACACCAATTAAGTTTATTGAAGACATGAATGAAGCAGAAACCGCGACTGCAGTGCGTATCTCTGAAATCATTACATGTCCTTACAGCTTTTTATTTAAAATTAAATTATAGATGCGCCTACCAGCCGGTTTAACAAACCTTGGAAATACCTGCTATATGAATGCCACTATTCAATGCTTAAAAGCAGTTCCTGAGCTTCGTGATGCGCTAAGCAATTTTACCAGTGAGGGGTCTGACACCCTATCAACAGCTTTTTCTATATCATCAGGAATGAAATCGGTTTTTGCTCAGATGGATAAGGGGGCAACAGTCACTCCAATTGTACTGCTGCAGGCGTTACACCGGGCATCCCCCCAATTTGCACAGACCGGAGAAAATGGCACGTACAGGCAGCAAGATGCTAATGAGTGTTGGTCGGAAATTCTGAAAATGCTACAACAAAAACTTTTACCAATTCGCCAAGAACCATCTAAAAATATTACTCAGAAAACACAACACGGGTAAGTTTATGAAATAAATTTAAGACTTCTAACTTCGCTCGTACATTCCCAACAAATCCGCTCATATATGAAAATCATGCAAAATAAACTCACTTAGCGTTGACGGATACACACTGCATGAGCCCAAATGTTCGCTTTCGATTTAAAATCATTCAGAATGTGGCTTGCGGGTGTAAACCGGTCCTGAGTAATTTTTGTGAGGGAGGAAATTCTTCTCCAGGTGTTCTCGTGCGAAGACTTATAACATCTATCTGCCTGTTGGAATGGGGATCCAACGACTCCGGCAGTCTATTCTGCTATTGCAGTGTATATGTGCGCATATGTGCAGCTTCCATGTAACGAATTATAAGTTTTCAATACAAACATTAATAAAAAATCTTATTAAATTATATTTAGTTGTGCAAAAAAATATTGTACTATCCACCGTAGCTCATGCATATATAAACTATGTTTATATCGTTTTTATTATTTACTTAAAGGTCATTTATTGAACAATTCTTTGGTGGAACCTTTGAAGTTAAAATGAGCACTGAAGAAGCTCCAGAAGAAACTGCTACTGTAACAACCGAGAATTTTTTGCAATTAAGTTGCTTCATTTCAATGGAAGTAAAGTACATGCAAAGCGGCCTTAAATCGGTAGTTAACACCACATATTACAAATATCAACGACTATGCATTAACGGCTCCTGTATTAATTTTTAGAAAATGATGGAATCATTGGTCAAAAAATCTGAAACTTTGGGAAGAGACGCACGCTACATTAGAACTGTAAGATCTTTCAATGTATAACTTAATTTTATTAACGTTTATTTAATTTTCAGTACTTAGTTAGCCGACTTCCAGCTTATCTTACTGTCCAATTCGTACGATTTCAATATAAGGGAAAAGAAGGCATAAATGCCAAAGTATTGAAGGATATTAAATTCCCCATTGACTTTGACGCGTTTGAGTTGTGTACACCCGAATTGCAACAAAAATTATGTCCAATGCGATCGAAGTTCAAGGATCTGGAAGACAAAACCATGGAGCTGGCAACACCCAAACCATATGGGGTCAAGGAAGAGGACATCGAAAAGAAATATGAGCAATTTTGGTTTGACGATGATTTGGGAAGTAATAATTCTGGATACTATACATTACAAGCTGTATTGACTCATAAAGGTCGATCAAGTTCATCCGGGCACTATGTGGCTTGGGTTCGTTCCAACGGCGATAGTTGGTTTAAATTTGACGATGACGAAGTAACATCTGTGGCCACGGATGAAATTTTACGACTTTCAGGTGGTGGAGATTGGCATTGTGCCTATGTCCTATTATATGGACCGAAGCGTTTGGAAAAGCTCTAGATAATTGTGTTACTGTCAATAAATCTGGGTTGTTGATCAAATTAATTTGAATTATAAAAATCCTCACGAGATCTCAACAGTCTTTTACTTTTGCATGTGGTGGGCACGGTTTTTAAATTTGGGAGAAGTCAAACTACAACAAAAAAATAAAGAAGGAAAGCGAGCTGCTTGCGCACACTACGAATACTTGGCTTTTGGATTCTCGGATCTGAGTCCATTTTTGTCTATTTGTTTATTTTTGTATACCCGTTGTTCGAAGAGTATAGGGGTATATTCGATCTTGTGGGGAAAGTGGATGTGTGCAACACCCAGAAGGAAGCATTTCCGACCCCACAAAGTATATATATTCTACATCAATAATAGCCGATGCGATAAAGACATGTCTGTCTGTCCGTCCCCATGAGCACCTCTAAAAGACTAGAGAAAACAAATTTTGTGTCCAGACTACTGTGACATCACACTCCTACAAGTGCATTTCAAAATTTCGCCCCGCCCCGCAAGGGACTAAAATCTTTGGCGTCCACAATCTTGAAGATACATATGCGAAAACCGAAAACGCAGAATCGTAGAGACTGCCCATATCTGCTAGACTACAATCTGAATCAGATCGGATCATTATTATAGCCAGAAGTGCAGTGGCTACGTAACGCCTTCTACGCGCTTGCTCATTTTCTGTCTCTCTCTCTCACACAAATTTCGTCATGCAATGTGTGCGCCCTCTTCCGAGATAAAACGGCTGATGTTTGTGTGAGAATACAAAGAATACAAAAACGAAGAGGCAGATGTAAATAAAAAATTAAAAGAAATGGAAACAGATAAAATCTAATATATAAAGATCTCCCAAACACCCACCCAGGGTTCGTTGTTCGCAAGCACGAAGCTTCTGAATTGCTCTCGATTTCGCAAAACTTACACCATGAGGCGCGTTTGACTTATTTGTTGTAAATTGACAGACTGGCCTTGTATTCGGCCCAGTTCTGCTCAACATACATATAAAGCTATTGCTTTGTTGAAGAGGCTCCGCGGGGCTTTCCAGAGGTTCCCCAGTTTGGAGTCCACCATTCAGGTTTCTTTCGAGTCCAGGGGTCTCGATAGGGAAAAAGGGAGTACAGTTTCCTGTGGTCCGCAAAGGAGTGTTCTTCCGGGACCCTGCAGGATACTATGTTCCTCTGCATCTCATGAGAGGCAAGTGTAACGTCCAGGACCTCCTTACGATTTTTAATAATAATAATGGGATTATTTCCCCGGTTTAATAATACCAGCTGAGTGGTCAGTAGATAAGTGAACAGGTACTCACCCCATTCATTAGTGTCAGCGATTTCCCACTGACCCGATGTCCGTGGGCGCGCAGTTTGCGATGAGCATTCGGGGTGGCGCGTGTGGAGGAGGTATGGCTATGACTCGTATAGGTGGAGCACATCCTCAGTGAGCTCTCCTCGCCTTCGAGGCTCACTGCAGTGTGGGGTTCTTTCTGAAATTTGCAAGAAAAAATAAGTGCAACTGTATTTTTGCAAGTACCTACATACTTGTTTTACCTGTGGTAACAGCTACGTATAGCCTATAGTCTCGAGTCCTCAGCGCAGATACCCCGCTTCCAAGAAAACAAGGCAAATAGTCCAATCAGGACTATGTCGGCTCCACCCCAGGAGAGCTCCAATCACGTTCCTGAAGTTTACCACCACCATTGTTTTGTCTGGATCGGTCCCAGGAGACTAAAACTTCTTTAGGCCTCCGGGGGCTCTAAGTCTAGCTCGACCTCCGGTGGCCTACCCTTTTGAGTTTATGGTTTTCTCGTATCTTCAAAATGTGGAGATTTTCTTCCTTTGTGGGGGCGGGGCGAAATTTTGAAATACACTTGCGACATTTGTGATATCACAGGAGTCTAAAGTCTAGGCGCTCGGCTTTTGATGCTGATCATGTTGCACACATTTACACTTTCACCACAGATGTATCGGGTAAAAAAATGTTAAGCCCCAAAAAAAAGTTCGATTTTGTTGCATAGTGTAGTCGATTAGCTTTGAAATCAATTTTATACATACATACATACAAATGTATGGTATGTGTACAAATTCGAACGAGCATGACTAGGCCAGAATTTCAAAATGCCATTTTTCGGTATTCGGCATAAAGACAGTCAGATTTACACCTACCCAAATAGGCAGGGCAAATAGATCTTCTTAGACGCACACGATACGAAGTAATTTTCAACTGAAGCTATAAACAGCCGAGAAATAATGCATTTTATTAGTATACAAATAATTTATACATATGTACATACGTATGTATGCTTAATAGTATATCTACAGGCATATACATCTTAATGGTTGGTTCAAAATTAAATGTACATCATCTCAGCCATTGAAGACATTTTTTTTGGAATATGCACCATAGTATCAAAATAGCTAGCCAGTTCTGATATCGTTACATCGTCGCAGTTGCTTGGTGTTGTTGCATTATAACAAGCTTGCTGAGAGCACGTCGTGCCCATACGTGAAACTGATAGTGATCTCTTAGATGCTGATATTGTAAAGGCGTTGCGTTCCTTATTTGACAGCAGTCTACAATTGATTTCTTTTTTGCTGGAAATTGTTGTTTTATATTTACTGCAGATTTTTGGTACACGACGAACATTATCCAAATTTGTTTCCTTTGTTTGGTCCAGCAATATATCGCATTCACTGATAAGATCGCGGAAACTGCATGTGTCGCCTATATTAAAGGTCGAGTTTTTAGTCTGAATTTGGCTAGTTTTTTCCTTTTCTGCGTTTAAGTGAAACATTTTACGACTTCGAACAAGACTCCTTCCGTGTTCACAACCAAATAATGTCTTCAACATGGGTTGCCGAAAAAGATATTTCTTTGTAGGGGCAACATGTTTTTTCTGTGCAAGCTTTTTAACACCATGCGAGTAACTTGGGGGACTTGTAATTTCAACAGATTCCGTTTGAAGAAAAGACTTGTCTTGCGTGCAACTCTCAAGGCAGCTCTCGGATCGACGCCTTGGTCTGCACTTCCAGCGATGTATCATTTTGTGTTTGGCGCTAAGTATTTGTTCAAAGTTATCATTAGCATTTGAAAGTTTAAAATCATTGTCTGGATTATAGAATGGATTCCTTTTTACTGATTTGCAAAGAGGGTGTGTTGGTGTTATTTTCAACTTGTCAAGATTCGCTGGTAATTCCTCCGTAGTCATTCTACAAAAATTATTGTAATTGTTAAAAAACCATTTGGGATTATTTTTGTCCAGTTTTTGAAATATTATTGTTCGACCTAAGGCAGCCAAAATTACCTTTTTGTTTATTTTTGTTTGTTTTCTCTTAATAAAAATGAATATGCTATGTATAGAGTATGCCCATATATCCACATCGTATACAGGGTGACCACGGCCCATTTATACCACTTATCGATCAGAAATATACCAAAATATACTTTTTCATAATAAAAATATACCAAAAATATTGCAATCAAATTTTCGTTTCCCTTTTATTTTATAATATTTATTAAAGCTTAGTACTCACATCCGACAACAGTTTTTCTAGCAAACGTACTATATATTATGCATAAATTTCTAATCGGTTTTATACGAATATCAACCCTAATTCTGCACGAGTACATATTTTTCGGATCAGAGTCCTAGCCCTAAAACTCAAGTCTTCAATCAGAATCACTTTTTTGGTGTAAAAGTGCCGAGGTGTAGATTTTCTATAATTACACTGGTCAATCAGCTGTGTGTTTTTTCCGGTAGTGTTTAGTATTTTTACTGTCATGTTTTCCTCTACTCTTTGTCCTATAAGAATCATATTTCTTGATAAAAGTTTTTCCCCAAAGTCTCTCTAATAGTCTTTTCACACTGGGATGATCAATAATAGCCTATTCCAATAGGTGACCGCCCACCATCATTTTCTAGGATTGTTTTGTACGGTTTTGCCGTTCCGAAAATTTCTCAGTTGTTCCACTATCCATCGAGAATGTTCCTAATCAGAATGTTTCTATGCGATATATATCCGAAGGGGTTCAAATCCAAACAAAATGTGCAATCAATGGCAAAAAAAATAATATCGTAAACTTTATGCTCTGCACAATTACACAGAAATTCGTTCTTGAGGGTTTTGTGCGTACTCACAGATGCATCTATATGTTCTCTCGACTTCGCGGATTTCGCCGATTCCAAAAACCTCGCTGCAGTTGACCATTGAAATGTATGGGCGTTTAAATTGAATATAATTAAATTAAATATGTCTACATTGTTAAATATTTTCCCGCAATACTTTCCATTGGGGACAGAAACAATCGATGTTCGGCTAAATGTTCAACCATCGATAATATAGGTATCGCTATCGCTATACTACATAACACAACATATTTTATGTTATCAAAGTCATACATATTTGTTGACTGTGCCAAGAATAGTCATTTTTAACTTTAAAAGTTGTAGTAATATGATTTGTTCGGATTTCTTTTTTATAATTCGTGCTCTCAATGCTCTGTTCACGGCCGTCTAAATATGTCATACCCCATGTCTGTACATATACTAGAAATGGGAGAAAATAATTTTTGTTGAACTTTAGTTGCGATATTCAATTTAAGTTTACATTTTAAAAACGTTCTAAAGAATCCAAACAAAGAATTTAACACAAACACAGCAGTGCTTTGTGTATATATGGATGTACGTGTCATGTACAATCGTGAATGTTTATTTATGACAAACTTTTAAATATAAGTACATGTAAGTAGTAAGAAATTGGCTGTTTGTGCATATACAGCCATCTGTTGTAGCGAACTGAATGTAAAGCTGTCAAAAAGTGCTATTTCGGGTCTGCAGCAGAATGCCAGACTGAATTCCAACTGAGTTGTTTTTCTAGGTGCCACAGAAGGCTGTCTCTGGTGACTAGAAATTTGGTTAAATTAAATGCAAAAACATACTTCACTCATAGAAAAAGGTTTATCTTCACTAGCATGATAAAGTATTTTAATTGTTTTAAACCTTTATTTCTATTTTACGAAGCCTCTGGAAAAATCTCTAGTAGAATTGCAATTCGTTGTTGGCGTCTTAAACCAGCTCGAAGGAAAATCTGGCCAGAACTGATCGGCTTGCTCATCAGCACGGATCCAGGCTCAAACCTGTTCCTGAAGTCCATTGGCACATTCAAATCATGCTGTCAAATGACATCGTTCGGAGCAACAGAAATGGTCCACAATACTGCGGCAGTATTATCTGTGTCAGCTGGTCTTTATTTCAGGATTATAGAAAACAGTTTTGGGTCGTTGTCGTACATAATTTGGTTGCTCTAGCTCTTATGGTCTTTGAGAAGTAGCCGTCAAAAATGTCGTGCGGAAAAACAGACCTAGCTATATCGAACTGGCTATTGATGCTGATTAAGATGCTGATCTTCTTGGTGTTACACACATCTACTTTCACCACAAATCTGTACTTTTCGAGTACTGCGTACTTTTGGAGCCCGAAGTCTACCAGAGAAAGGCGGTTTAATGCCGGTCGTAATTCAAGAAACGCAAAAAATTATCAGTTTTGAATTTGAAATTTGAATTTAATTATTTTTTTGACGTCGAAACAAGTTTAGGCGCAAGACCTCGCCATCTTCCCGAATCCCGAGTCAAAATTCTGCGAAAGGTACAATTTTCTTTTCAAAGCAGATATGGAGTGAAAGTTATGGAAAAGTGCGCAGTCACCAAAGATTTTGTGGGTATATTGCAAATTCTAAGTATGAGGAGGTCCTCTACTCATCTAGACCTTTAATCTATTTTTTTTCTCGTTTAAAGTACATTCAAAAAGTTTCATTTATGTATATATAATCTTATATAGCGAGTAACTTATTAAATTTAATACAAATAATGGCTAATTATATTTCTTAAAATGTTAATTTTTAGTGAACGATATGGTTGTTGAAAATCCAACACATAAGGATGTCGATTTAGCTGATATTTTAGGGGCCAATTGGCCAACACATGCCGGGGCAGCAGCTATGATTTTAAATAAAAATAAAACATCTGTGGAGGGCAACAGTAACGACGAGGGTCAGCCGAAATCTTCGAACCCACTATCGATAGCAGTCAAAGATGAATCTTTGGGTGAGTATCTCTCATTTATATAAACATGTTTTGGTTTGCTCTAAATTGTAAAAACTTACACCCTTTTTATTTGATCGGTTTCACCAGATTAGTACATGTCGCTCTGTGTGTATATTTCAAATAGTTCGCGATCGAATCCACCCTGCTGAAGAGGCTCAGTAGCTCAACATATAAAACCAAACTATTCTTAATTGAAGCATTTACATAAAATCGACACCATTACTAGGGCAATTTGTCTTGTGCCTTCTTAGTAAATCGTTCATTTGATCCCAAACTCAAATTTGGCTTTGAAATAATTGGTTAATACAACAACACCTTGCGCTTTCGTGCAAACAGCTGACTCAGTCCGATTTTGGTATCGATTTTTGGGATGTTAAACATAACAGAGGCTTTTGCGCGCTCGATAAACTAAATTGTGGGTTTAACAGCAGTAATTTGTGCATTTAACAGGACATGAGAAAATGTGACAAAACGGGGGCACCTAGAAACGAAACGTTTTGGCTGAAAACGCAAAAAGTAAATGAAAACCGGAGTCTGCCTGAATATCCAAATAGCCCGTATGAAAATTTATACATAATTCAGTATGCTTTGATCTATTCGTTTGTGTGTGTTACGTGTTTTGTAATTGTGAAAAGTATGTAGAGTAACGTCCGGAGGATAAGCCGTTGATAGAGAGACAGATGAATAGATTTAACGGAATGTGCGGTATGGAAACAGTGGCAATATTTTTTGTCACTAGGTGGCAGAAATATATTCCATAAGTTACATAAATCATAGCCTTACATAAACATATACTGACTGCGTATCGGGGTTTTTTATTAATTATTTTTTTGTACCTTTTGAAATGCAATTTTTAGGTCACACAATTTCAGATTATCAACGCCTGATTGAAATACCAGGAACAGAGCTTGCAATTGGCTCCCTCGTGGAAGTATCTGATTCTGGCGTGTGTGGAGATGTGTATGGTGTAATAAGATGGATTGGTATACCTCCAGGAATTTCTAAAAACGTACTTGTTGGAATAGAGCTTGAAGACGAACCTTCCTTGAAGAACATTCCATTGTCAGATGGAAGTTACAATGGCCTTCGGTAAATATTTATTTACATATTTTTAATAAAAATAAGTAGATAGTAATGAAAATTGATGTGCATTTTTTTAAAATTAATTTATATCATATGTCGCTGAAACTGAATCCGATGTCCGAATTCAAAACGTGATTCGTTTCTTGCGCTATAGTGCAAAATCAAATTTTTCCGCCATAAACCGGCAATATTTATACTCGGTACTCGAAAATTATAGGGGTATATTCGTGGAGGAGAGGCTCTCTGACAAATATGAAATATGAATATGAACTTCGGCTTATCGAATCGATTAATTTATTTTTAAGAATATACAATAATATTGAATTCTGTATTTAATTCATATTAATTAATAGGTATTTTAAATTATTTTGTTGTTCACAATTTTCAGCTTTTTTACGTGTCACCAAGGTCGGGCTATTTTTGTAACGTCCGACAGGTGCAAAACTGATCGCCGATTCACCGATAAAGACAGCTACCATGTAGGAAACAAGATCACTAACAATCAGGAGATAAACTTCGGTGCCGTCGCGTGCCCTTCTATTTCTGGTTCAGTACCGCCACTGCGTAAGTGCATACTTGCAGCCTACACAATTTAAGTTCTTATTGATCAAGATGAAAATCTACAATTGACACGTCCTTATCTTTTATTTTAGGAATACATAGTTCGGATGAACTCCAGAAAATTTGTGGAAAATTCAAGGGAATACAAGGACATCATAACTCTTGCTATCTTGATGCGACACTATTTTCGATGTTCACTTTTACTAGTGTGTTTGATTCTATACTGTACCGATCTCCAGGACCCAAAGTAAGACAATAACGACGCTGAAAATCTTGTAATCTAATAATTTTCCAACAGGATATTCGGAATTACAGAGATGTTCAAAAGGTTTTGCGGGATGAAATTGTTAATCCATTGAGAAAACAATTATTTGTGCGATCTGACAGCGTTATGAAGCTGCGTGAACTATTAGACCAACTCAGTTCTGTAAGTGGTCTCACATGCGAGGAAAAAGATCCTGAAGAGTTCCTGAACAGTTTACTATCACAAATTATGCGCGTCGAACCATTCTTAAAAGTGCGTTAATTTTTCATTTTATGATGAGAATTTGTATTAAGTTCAGTTCTTTATTTTCTTTATTCTTTATTTTTAGCTTAGCTCCGGACAAGACTCATATTTTTATCAACTGTTTGTGGATAAAGATGAAAAACTAACATTACCAACTGTCCAGCAACTTTTTGAACAAAGCTTTCATTCGTCGAATATCAAACTAAAGGAGGTTCCCTCTTGTTTTATTATTCAGATGCCTCGTTTTGGAAAAAGTTACAAAATGTATCCAAGAATTTTACCCTCGCAAGTTCTAGATGTGACAGACATAATTGAAAACTGTAAGTTTTAAAATTAAGAACCTTCTTAAAAAAAAAAATTTCGTAAAACATATTATTGCTTCCTTCATTCTGGCTGTAATATTGATTCGTTCGAAACGGCATGTTTCTGAGTTTTAAATTTTCTGGTACATATCTTCAAAGTGTGACTAGCCAAGTCGGCATAGCATTTGATGCTGGTTAAGAAATTGTATACTTTGTGTTCGGGAATTGATATCAAACATAAAACATAATCTCATCTACTATACGGGTTACATCGTTCCGTTCTAATTCACTACCTCTCCATTGTATGCCACTATTAAGCCTTATTGAGCATTTTTCTAATTATTTTAGCTCCTCGACAGTGCTTTCTGTGTGGAAAACTAGCTGAATATGAATGTAATGAATGTTTTGGAAGTCTACAAGTCGGCTCAGGTCTTGAGTGTACAGCCTTTTGTCAACAATGCCTTGTTACATTTCATATGCATGCAAAAAGGTAAAATTAAATTTACGATTATATACGTTTATTATCTTACTTTTATTCATTAAATTTTAGGAATAATCACGTGCCTACAAAAATATGTATTCCCAAGGACTTCAGAATTATGGCTGATCATATGGTAGTACCACGCGTGTACATGGAACTATTTTCAGTTGTTTGTATAGAAACATCTCATTATGTAGCGTTTGTAAAATCAGGTTCTGGGCCAGATGCACCATGGTGTTTTTTCGATTCAATGGCTGATAGAAAGGGTAAGTTACATTATACATACACTGGTGATCGTTGTTCGGGGTCACACTTGCCATGTGATGTCAGCTTTCACAGTTAAATTTTTATTTATTGTCCTGGAGGCTTTGCGGACCGAGTTTTCTCTTGATTTGAATACAGCGATCCATCCGGTCCGCCATCCTTTAGTAAAATATTGTGCATTGAAACTAATACGATACATTTTACATATGCGCTTTATATTTTCTTTTAGGTGAACAGAATGGATATAACATACCGGAAATGACATGTGTTCCCGAATTAACACAGTGGCTTTCCGATGAAGGTGCGCGCTCTATTAATGAAACATCACCTAATGATAAAGTTCTACCTGATCACGCCAAGCGTATTTTTTGCGATGCCTATATGTGTCTGTATCAAAGCACAGACACTATGATGTACCATTAATAAAATTAATAAATATCGTATGTTTTTAATAAAACTTTTACAATGCCTAAAAGTCGTTTGATCGTTTCAGATTTAAATTTTTTACATATTGAAAACGATTTTCTTTTTGACGTTGCACGTTGCACACGCAATAGTCGTGTTTGGTCTATGGGTATCTCGTGACCATGCGGCTGATGTCAATCTGCCCCTTAAGAATCCCGTCTTATGTTCGTATTAAAGAAACGGTATGAACGATACCGATGGACCCAATGTGATAAACTAATGTCCCAACGGTTGCGCATTGTAGCATCTGATCGATTAGGCTCACCGTCAGTGCACCTGTGATGGCTGATGGATTACATTAAAGGTGCCTTCTATGTCGGGGAAGGTGTACTCCTTACAGAAAAGGAACTCCTGGGCGCTTAAGGGAAGGGCAACAGACCTATCGGTCTTTGGGGGCAGCGTGCGCGGCCTTATCTGCCTTAGAAATGAAGACGACGTTGGTTTGAAGCCAGGTGTTCGTGTCAGTTCGGTTTTCATCGCAGCCAGGGAAGTGGGTGTTGAGGAGAAAGTTTAAAGGGGAGACTGGCCGTATACTCCGCCCAGTTCTGCTCAACTTATAAAGCTTCTGCATGTTGAGCCTCGAACCTCGATAGCCTCAAGGCTATCCGGAGTTTCCCTAGTTTTCCAGTCGACCATTCGGGGTTCTTCCGACCTCTGCTTTTGATAGAAGGACAGGATTAATCGAGTTTGTCCGCCTGAGGTTCCGGAATTAAACTGGCCTCGACAAAAAAAAAAGGAATACAGACCCGCCAGGATTCTATGTATAATCTGTTTCTTGTGAGAGACAAAAGTAAGGCTCAGGACCTCCTTGCGAATTTTTAAAATAAATGTGCGATAATTTCCCCGGGTTAATAAGACCATCTGAGCAGTCAGTAGATATCTGAAAAGGTACTCACCCCTTTCATTTGTTTCAGTCCTTTCAAACGGGGCACAGCGCGCTTGTCCCGGGAAGCCTGATTTAAACTGGAGGTCGTATCCAGCGTCCGCAAATTACCGACCGAGCGCACCCTCTGCCACGCATCTCTAGTGGCAGTGACAGGTTCACCATTGGATTGGGATAATTTCATTGAGTTATCTTTTCCCCGTCCGACTACCATTAGCCAGCAACGATGGCAGAGGCTTGGCCGTGCTAGGACCTATTTCCAGCTGTTCTCACGTTGAGAGTATAGTCGCACTTCCACCGGTATGTGTACAGCTACTGCGGTGTCAAGGAGCCCTACTTCGGGTCAAGGTGAGCCCAGGCCCAAAGCACCTGTACTTGTAACACTCGATGAAAATTGAAACCAAATTGGTTTGGTAGGGTGACAGATGCGCGTTAGCGTTTATATTCGAGAGTAGCCACCAACTCAGCTTTTAACGATATGAACAGCGTATTGAAGTTTTCGCAGCCTACTGATAATAACATCTGGGCTGGCATTTCTGCCAACATTTCGAGGCCACATATCAATATATTTATGAAATATATGAATCGATTGACGAATACGAAATGACGAAACACATTCACCTGCAATTAGCATGCATTTCGCACCTTCACTCTTCTATCAGCATATTTCAAAATTCTTGCGAGATTCAAGTTTTCCAGTTTTCGAAACTCAAATTTCTGCAGACGGTCGAAATGAAAGATGTAAACTTTTCTTTTGTCCGATTCGCTTGGTTGGATTCTACACACTTCATTTGATTCTTGAGGCCTAGCTCTTAGTTCAGCACAGATAATCTTCACTTCCTTCGTCTGTGCCCCTCAGCACTGACACATTTTCTGACATTCACGTTCCTCCTTCTCATTTAATTTTCCAATGAGTGGCCTCATCTAGTAGCCTCATTTTAGTAGCAGCCCCTACACTCTATTACCAATTCTCTATTTTTTTAAATATAAGTAAAATAAAATAAATTTATTATAAGTTTTTAAACAAGGAATATTTCACTAAAAGTTGTATAAAATATAAATTTTTTATTGTTTTTTTTTTTTAATTTGTATGTATTTATACTTAAAGTAATTCAATTTTACTGAGTGCATGCTGTATGAAAGTAATTATATATTTGATTGGGTATAAGATGTATGCTAAGAAAATAAATAACTTTTTTACTGTGTGGTATGTAGCCCTTGCGTTCTGTATAATGTGAATGAATCGTACACATGCTGCAGCTCCGATAGGCGGTATTCTTCCAAACATACAATACCCTGCAGTGATGGAGACAGTTTCAGTGCACATGATAGACAATGAACAACGTGTCGTTTCTCCTGTTCTTTTATAAAAAGTACATTAAAAACTTCAACCTGTAAAAAAAAAAAAAAAAATATATATATATTTATATTAGATTTTTTCTTTGTTAAAAGTTGAATTTCATTGTAAAAATAAGAATTGCATAAGCGTTCAGAAAAAATGTATCAAATCAGAGAATCTGACCAAAGCAGTATCGGAAAAATTTAATCGGTATTCTTCGAAACAAAAAAGACAGCACTAGAACTAGCATTTTATCGATTCTGTGCTTTCGTTTTCGAGTGTACTGTAAATTACTGTATTTTATTGTAAATGAATTGGTCAGCAGCTTGACAAGCAGAGTATTAGTATGTTCTACCCCAAAAAGTAGACGACCATATACGTCACCAGGCCCTTTCACAAGAAATTTCCAATTTAATTTAGAAAAGGGAGGATTTTATGCTCCGATTTTCACAAAAAGCAATTCCGTGTTTATTCCTTCTTTATGATACTTGAATACTAGAATTCACGATAAGGAAACATAGGGCTAAATCAAATCGGCAGCTAATGCTCAAAAAAAATATCATGGTTGATTTTTAAATTATTTTCTTCAAGTGCTTTTATAAACAGAAAATAACAAAAATAAAAAGTAATACTAATAATAAAAAAAGTAACTAACGCAAGAAATACATACTTCACATTGACCACAATAATGTGATGCGTCGTTTTTTCCACGACCATTGAAACGTATTTCCACTCCTTTAAATTTTACGTATTCCTGTGTGTGTAATATATTTTTCAATGTTTGCAATAAGCACATTCTGGAAAATGTAATAGCTTTATTAATAACGATGTTAAATAATTAATGTTGTTAAATTAGTGGGGAATTTTGGTAGGACAGCAAAATAAGATCGCGATCTCTCTCAATTTAGCTCGCATTTGTCATGAGAGATGGAAAAACATAGAGGGGAAGAGAGAAACCACGACCAGTAATTATGTTCTTATATCATTCTTAGCACGATCATTTTGAACTTCTATTTTTGATATCTAACATTTATTTGTTGTTTATCAAAAAAACTATATTTAATAATTATTGAATCATTACGTGAATTATTTTTTTAATAAATGCTTTATTAGTTTTAAACAAATCTCTTTATTCCCAATTGCTCAATCCAAAGGTACGAACCGTTTAAAGGTAGCAACAGAATGATGTACAGATAGATAAATACTCACTTTATCAATTCAAAAAGTTTCTTATCCGATACTTTTATATTTCTTGCTAGGTTCCAGCTTAAATGAACCATTGGTACAATACTCTTGAATGCTTGCAGTTTATTCCATTCGTATCGTTCGATGGCAAGAGAATATTGACGGGCAGTTAATGGTCCAACATTCCAGGCTATGTTATTGCACCATCCTACAGATTGAACCCAATGAACACATCTAAAAAATAAAACAAAATATTAGAGGTACATAAAAAAACAAACATTTTTCCTGAGTTTTTCTTTGCTAATACGTCCCTTAGGTGTTAAGCAACCTGTTTTATATTTCTTTCTATCCTCTAGCGTGGGATGGAGGCAGGAGAGTCAGGTACATGCCTGGCCCTGTTGAAATTAACCTTATCAGGGCAATATTAATCTCTGTCCTTGCCAACCGATCCCCTTCGCTGCAGCTTGTGGGATGAAAATAGAACACTATACAAATAAACACGAAAAGAAAAGAGTCTGGCTCTCCCTAAAGGCCAACCACCCAACGGGGTAAACTAAAATTTCAATTGAAACAAAAAAATAAAGTATGAAAGGTTCGGACACTTGCATGAGAGGAGATTGGAAGCTCCCATTAGAGGACAGGAGCACAGGAAACAATAGATATATACTGAGTGTTCCCCGACTACCATAATCTTGGTATGCAGAATTCGGGATGTCTGCCGCCCGGGATGGCTGCGGGTCAAGAGAGTCTGTGCAGAGCTAGAAGTTACAAAAGTGGAGGAGAGGAGGAGTCTAGGGGACACGACGGGGCCGGGCTACAAAGGAAAATGAACAAGTCCACGCCGAGATCCCAGAGAGCTCGTATAGTATATAGTCATACATACAAAAGTGAACCTGGCACTCAAATGAATCTCAACCTATCCTATCCCATGATTCAGCACTATCCAAGGAGATAATCTCGTACCAACCCATTTTAAAGTTTTAAGGATTTGTTGTACCATCCGCAGAACAAATAGCAAAATTCAATTAGGATAATTATTTTTAAAGTAAATTATAATATGTTTCCATGAAACCTTTTAATATTTTCTTCTCAATGTTTATTTTTACTTACCCAGCATTTACCCAGACCAAGTCTCCGGGTTTTTGTATAAATCTATAAACGGGTATATTTTCTTTGTATAAATCTTCTAAGACTGGCCACCATGAACCATGAAGGTAGCTGATATTGTTCTTTTCGCACAAATGGTGAATTCCACCCCAGTAAGCATCTGGGACGGCAAACCATTCACAATCTCCAGGGCCAATATTAATGTTGATTGAGCAAAAGTTATTGTTTTCTTGATGACCTGGTGTCCTACTTCCAGGAACTTTCATGTAAAGTTGAACTGTATTCATTCCCAAAATGACGTGACCCACATGAGATAGCATATTGGCGGCGGAGATAACACGAGCAAAAGCAGGCAGTTTTTGCAATTCACTTAATTGTGGTTTCCATTTTCGTTCATCAGACAAATCCACGTTGGTTCCAAATCTATGAGTACAAATTAAAATAAATTAAAAAACTTTGTTTGCCTGTACAGATCCTTAAGTGATAAAATAATTGT